GTTGCCTTGGAATGGATCAAAAACAAACACAAAATAAATTTTTTATATGAGATGTAAAAAATATTGAAATTAGGATAGAAAGAAAATATTTTTGGGGATGAGACGATGGAGATTATGGTTGTAGGATATGTGCTGCAAAGATTTTGTTGAGTAACCTCTTGTTTTGCCCATTGATGAAGGGTTTGCTCATGTGAGTTACCTCCATTTCCTCCTTGGTCTCCCATGGTAGAAGTTGAAATTGAGGTTTATGTGGGTGCGGAGTCTGGGACGTTGTGAGTAGGTGAAGAGGGTGGAGTGGTATTTCTGGATGAGGATTGTTAAGGTGAGGGTGAGAGGGTTTCTGTTTCGGTTCCTGTCACACTTGAGAGGGGTATGTCCTCCCAAATGTTGATGACCGGAGGGGTAGATGATGATGAAGTACCTGAAACCGGTTGCCTCTTGCAAAACTTGGCTTGCTTCCGTAACCTCTTTACAGTCTTCTTTATCTCCGAGTCAATTGGCAATGGTGTACCTGTACGAAAAGATCTACGCATAAACAATTAGTAACACCGTGTCCCCGACAACGACGCCAATTTGTTAGGCGTGTCAAGCCTAACAAATAAAGGGGTACAAAATGACTCCACAAACACTGCTACTTTGCACTAAAAATGTAATACAAGGTAAGTAGGGTTGATCCAAGAGACACAGAATAAATGCTTATACCTTTTTGCATAAGGTACAAAAATGATCACAAAAGTGGGGGGGGGGGGGGTTTATATGCAATGATTTAAACAAAAGAATAAAGAAATAAGTAAGTGATCGATTAAATGAAACAAATTCATGATTTGTGAGGACTCCAACTCTATGTATGATGACTTAGCAATGTGATTCCAATATGACATGATATTTATCCAATTCTACTTAAGTTGGTACTTGAAAGTGTTAACAAGCTCTAACACTTCCCATACACCAAGTTGTCAAATTCAAAACAAGCTCTTTGAAAATAACCTAACATTCTAATTTAAATCTAAACAAGCTCTTAGATAGAAATCAAAAGGTTGCAATAAGGTTTATATGAATGTTCCCAACAACACCCAATACTCCTCACAAGCTCGAGAGCGTAAGAGTATGTGAATAAGATTTACACTAAATTCATTCAATGGAAATCAATTTAGTGCTTGTTACTTGTCCAATTTACATAACAATTACAGATTTTGCAATTTAGATAACTTGATTGATCTAACCCTAGTTCAAATGGCCAATAAGAATCACAATTAGAATCAAACATTCAATTGAAACAAAATTAAATTCACTAGATAGAAATTGAAAGCAAACATCAAGTCATACGATTGAATCACAACTAAAGAGTCAAAACATAAAGTTGGAGAATCTAGGGTTCTAGCCACACATGACTAGAACAATATCACAAGTCTAGAAAATGAAATTAAAATGATTACGAAATGAAATAAAATGTTCCCAAGTGTTAATCAACTTCAAAAGTCTCCATAAATTCGCCGCAAGTAGTCCCAAAATCGACATACTGAAAACAGAAGTCGGTTGCTTCCTTTTAGAAAAGATGAGAAACTGCCACTAAACCAACGTCCACGTTTCCATGGCCCGTGTATATTTACACTGGTGTTTCCACGGCCTGTCGAAATAAAGAAAGTTAGATGTTTGAATTGGACGAGGCTTCAAAGTATGCTGCCGGAACAGGCTCGTTTCCATGATCCGTGGAAATGAAAGGCTAAAATTTCCACGGTTGTGGAAATCTCTAAGTGCGGGGATTCTTCAATTTTCTGCAACTTCTACCTCCATGATTCGAAGGTCGTGGAATCTTATCCGCACCTTCTAATTACCTCCTAAGTGAGATCCCACCTCCATGAGTCCCTGAAATATCATAAAACTATGCGAGTGAAATAAAACCATGGAATATCCTGAAAGCATGTAAAATGCATGGAGTTAAGCCTAAATGCAATGCAATGGTGTGGAATAAAGGTGAAAAATAGGTGCATAAAATGCACCTAACAATGTCCAATGCATGTCTTGGACTCAACTTAGGTCAAAATGGGGGGTTTATGACCAAAATCTTATGCATGGATCAAACAACCATCCAAACTTCATATCTAAACCATGAATTACTCCAAATGATCCAGATACATAAAGTTGCAACCATTATGAACTTTTACCACCCCAACTAACAATATTAAGAAGAAAATGGGACATATTTAAAGATCTAACATCCTATCATCAAAAAAGGTGGAGCCTTGAACACTTACAAGGGTCCAAAATCGAGTTAGGAAGGTAGATAGGGCTTTATTCATGATCCTTGGCTTACTCCTTCTTGTTTCTTCCTTCAAAGTCTCTTAAATTCACTCAATAAATCTTCAACAATAGAGGAAAGGAATTAGGGCTTCTTCTGGATTAAAGAGGGTGGTGAAGGTTGAGGGTGAGCAAACCATAGCATCATCATTCCTTTAAATAGGGTGCAAAACCCGAAAAATTAGGGTTTAGGATGTCAGAGGCGGCCACGCTTTGCCTTCCTTGCCATGTCGTGGCGAGTCAAAAGTGACCCGCGACCAAAAGTACCTTGCCACGCCGTGGCGATCTTCCCCACGTCGTGGCGACCCCAAAATCGATCTTTAAATTAAAAATAAAATATACCTCCAAAGACCGAATGTTAGAGCGTCCCTATGAAAAGGGAAGTGGGAAATTTCTTGTTTTAATAAAATAATCACCTTTTTTTGTAAGGAAGTTGATAATTTCACATATCCTTTTGATACATCTATAGATTTTAAAAGAAAATGATAATTGTGTCCATAACGTAATTATTAATTTATAGGCATGCATTCTAAAAGAATCTTCTATGCTCGGTCCCATTTATATCATCTCAACATGAAATCATTGTTTTTCTTCTTCCTCCTGCACACACAAAAGGGAAGCACGACCACAAATGGAATCACAACAGATAATCAATGATTAGTTTCACCATAAATATTGTGATTTTCTTTCTTCACTAGATATAAGCTCCTTATCGGTTGCGGGGCATGGTTTTTCATAATCTTTAAATAAGAATTATTACAAGTGCAAGATATCACTGCTAAGAACGTGAACCATTTTTTATCGTTGAATTATCATTGATCAATAAGAACATGAATCCATCACCAAAATCTAAGAACAATTTTGAATCGATGGCAAAGTAGATATCGTTGGTGAAACTTTGTTAGCTCGCCGAAACTCTTATCCCAAAGATAAAGTGGTTTAATGTATATCGCCCATTTGAATGTCTAGTTTCGATTTGGATCAAACTTATTTGGGGTGACTTTGATTCCATCATCGGTTATATTTGAAGGGTTTGTTGTGTTTATGTCCCTATACAAGTTCTAAGTACCGGGATTTTTTTTTCATATTAAAGGTGATTAACACAATAGTAAAAAGCAAACTACATATGAATAGTAAACTTTTGCCTTTTGAACTTTTGCCACAATAGTTTTGGTTTTTTGACTTTGCCACAAAGATACTTTTTATGCAATTAATCATTATATTTGGTTTTTAATTTGTGCTTCTATCTAGTGGTTTCAGTTTTGTACTTAGTTAATGTTTGATTGTAGTTCAATTTAGATTGATCATCTGAATTAGTATCAATTCGTTCTAGTTTATCAGTTATTAAAGTCTATAATTGTTTTAATAAAGTGGTAATAAGTAACAAATATCACATTGGTTCCACAACGAGACTTAATTCTAGTATAAACTAAAAACAAATATTTTTACTCTTCCAAACTTATGAGAAGTATTGGATATTTCTAGAAATTTTACATGGATCTTAATGGTTATTTTTTTATTTAATTGAGCTTATTTGATTAGGGTAATAAAAAGTTATCTTAACTTAAAAGAAATTGTTTTAGTTAAATAACTTGGTAAAAGAAAACTTGTTGGAGCATGCTAATAGATTTTTTAGTACGAGCTTAAATGGAATGTTTATTAAATAACCATATAGGGATTAACTACATAATTAGGAGAGTCATAGAAAAACTTAAACATATTTTATTATTGAATTTTCTAAAGCTAATTTTATGCATTTTTATTCACTGCAATTTTATTTTTATCAGCTTTATTCAAAACAAAAACCTCGTCTTATTATTTCTGTTATGACTAGTATGTTTCTCATGCAAAGAGGCATTAGGTTGTACCTATGTGGATTAGACTTTTCTTCCGTGTGTTATCCTTTAGAGCAACTAAGCAGTGAAAATTATTTATTTGTAGGTGTAAATGATACACCTAATACTCTAGCATCGTTATCGGGGATACAATATTGCTAATAGTTTATGCCAAGATCTTTAAGTACATGTACCACCTAGAAATTGAAAAAACCATGAGGAAGTGTAACATTCGGATTACAAGGTACTTTATATTGTTCTCAAGTTCGGCATACTAAGGTTCTCCACGACGTGGTGATGAGGTGCCACGACGTGTCAAGTCCAGGTTTTGCTCCCGATTTAAAGGAACGAGGAGGCTAGGGTTTGCTCACCCTCAACCTCTATCAGATTTGAGAAACCCTAACCCCCTCCTCTCTTATTTTGAGCTTTTGTTGGTGTTCTTGAAGCCTTGGAATGAAGAAAGAAGAAGAAAGGAGCTAAGATTCAACAAGCTAGTCCTCATCCTTTGTGTTGGCAATCTTCTGGACCTTTTTAAGTGTCCAAGACTCAATATTTATCATGTTAGGTCGAGTCGTATACCCACTTTTCGGCATCTCATTATGCCGTTGATAGTTTCTTTAGGATGCAATCACAAACAGAATCACAATCGCCATCATCGTCGTCTATTTTCCATTACAGTAGACCTAATTTTCCGCCTCCTTCGCCAGAACGATCGTCGCAATGGGATTTTTTCGGCCAAATGACGAATAACTATCATCAAAGCATGTTTGATGATGATATCAGTGGATTACAACAAGTTAGGGAAGAGTAAGGGATTTTAGAACTCGAAGAAGAGACCGAATGGGAACAGGAAAAAACCAATCATAATCATGAAGATGAAGTTACAGTCGAAGATGTTGATGAAGACGATGATAAAGATGAAGATGACGATGAGTTTGAAACAGATAGCACAAAGTAATCATAATGAACATCCCATTTCTGCCATGGTGCTCTTAAACAAGAAAAGAGGCAGATATGTTGACTTTGACTGAGTGAGAGACTCAAACTGGCTACACCAAGTAAAAAAAGGGTAAAAAGACAGGTTATCCACAAGCTCGTTCCCTCATAAGGCCACAAAAAACGTTTAGAGAGCAAAAGGGTCAACCCTAGAAAGTTTGTAGGGCAGTCATTTTCCCAAACTATTTCCCTCTCTTCATTTTTAAGTTGGGTTTGTAGCTCCTTAACCTAAAAACAAAACATATAATTAGCAAACAAACAATATATATCAACATTCACATACAAAAAACATATTCCATAATAGCAACATATTTTACTTTTCTACCAATATAGGTCTTGTACTTATTTTTCATCTATAATAGCAACACACTTTATTTTAACAAAATAATAACAACAAATTATTTATTTAGAGACTATTTTCATTCATAATAGTAAAATACTTAATAATAGCAACATACTTCATAATGTATATTAAAATGTAAAAAAGAATTAACTTCAAATATTACGAGGGAAAAGCAAAGACAAAAGGTGGGAAAATGTTTTCAATTCCCGCTATTATTTTTCCTACGAATTTCCAACAGAATACTAATTTTAAATATTAATTAATATTTCGTTGGTGTTTTGTAGGAAAATAGCGACACTTTTCCAACAGAATCTTTAGGGTATCTACTTCCGTAGGTAATTTATTGGAATTTTTTTTGCGTTACACTTTTGTCGCATGTTTGTAGGAAACTAGATGAATATTTTTCATATAATATTTAGTAGCTAAAACCAAATTTTCTAATAGCGGTGATGAGCTCAACGTTAGTCCAATATTTGAAGCTACATAGCCAACCAAAGAAATGGTCAACATGTATTGGTGATGTATCATTTTATATACTATATTTTTATTATCACTATTATTAATAAATATATATGACTAACATTATGACCTATAGATAGTCTTTCTATTTTAAACCAACTAACTTCATGTACCCATTTGATCACTTTTTTTTTTCTTTATATTTGACGTTAAAAGTGATATTTATTCAAAAAACACATGACCACCAGTCTAGCTGATTTCAACGAATCCTCCAGTGACTTTTCATATGGGGTCAATAAACTGATTATAAAAGAGGTAATCCACCATACTCTTATAAATAATAATGGAAATCAGGCAAGAACAGAGCTTCCAAGCTCACATCCTTTTTCCCTTGTAAAGATTTTGTAATCAGTCAAACACCATCATAACATAAAACCACAGCCTGTAGAAGAACAGTAGAAAAAGCAACAATAAACTGATGCTTTATAAACTTAATCGATTTCGACATTTTGAGAAATTGAGTTTCTACAACCTATGCGAGATAAAAGAGTAGAAGACCCTAACCAGTGCAGAGGCCGGAGGCATGTATATATCAAAATTGAAAGAACAACGTTTATTATAAAGAGGAAAGAACAATGAGCGGATCTGATCGGATATTATTAAAATCTATAGATTAAAACATAAGTTCTTTTAGTCCCCTAAATCTAAGTACATTATCATATCTTTTATGCATTATTTTGTTAACAGAATATATTTGTTGTAATCTCCACAAAACTTGTTTACTTGAAGGCCTAGCCTTATGATCCTTTGCCACACATCTCGTTGCTAGTGCAAGACAATGGAAAGCACCATCTAGAGGATAATTATTTTTAAGATGTGGATCTATTATATCTTTTAGCTTCTGTTTGTCTGCTAGAAATGGACTTGCCCATTCTACTAAAGTGAATGTAGAAAAGAGCGACTGTGGTTCCCATGCCCGCTGGCCTGTCAGGGTTTCCAACAACACCACTCCGAAACTATAAATGTCACCCGTAATTGTAAAGTGACCTGTAATAGTGAAGTTCAATATTTATATTAATCATAAATTATTTTTTTGAACCACTACACTTGATTATATTTGTAGGAAAAAAAACCATCGTCCTTTTGAAAATACGAACTTCATCCAGAATTTATAAAATATGTAGGATATACCATTAAGTCGATCCTCTTGGTCGAAATAACGTAAGGTATCCATGTCACGTGTACTCGTATCTGATTCATGGAATTTAGGCCGACCTTTAGCCAAACCAAAATGCCCCAGCTTTGCATTAAAATTCTGGAATAAGAATAAATGCTTAACTTTTATGGCATAAAATGAAATTATCGCCACCAAAAAAATTATGTAATTAACCGGTACTACCTTATCCAGCAATATATTAAAGGTTTTAATACCACCGTGTATAACTTGCTCCTTTGACGAGTGTAGATAAGCGAGTCCACGAGCTACTCCTATCATTATCCTAAGACGTGTTATCCATGAAAGTGGTTTGGTAGCATCTGGTGCATTTGAAAAATTACTCATGTTACATCATCTACGTCATGGCAACAATTCAACTTTGAGTAAGAATAATTCAACAATAGTAATTCAGAAAGATTCAAGTATATTACCTCCGAATAAGAAGTGACTAAAATTTAGCTTAAGAATGTGGGTGTAGTCGTAAACAAGTAAGCAATTTTTCTTTTTATCATTGCAGTATCCCATGAGACTAATAATATTTAGATGAGGCAACCTTCCAATGCCTGTCACTAGTGTTGTTACTAGTGTCTGATCTCACAACATTTCAAATTACATTCAGCAAAAGAATTCATAAAAACAATAGTTTAAGCATTGTATTATAAAAGGACTCCCGAGTTCCATTCACAACATAGAACATAGACATACAAATAATTAAGCATTATCTATTTTTAATTCCAGCCTTGAAGGATAACATTTTCATCTTTTTCTCATGGTTCAATGTTGTGTTCTTGAGTCACTTATTTGGAAAGAAACAAAGTGAATTGGGACGCAACAATGAGCAGGCATCTTGTATGTTCTTGTGCTTTTGTATATGAAGAGAAAGGAACCTCATGGAAACTTTTTGGGTGACTTTCACTTAACATGTCATATATGGCTGAATGCAAGAAATAACAACATACTTCACTTAATTTTATAATAACATTCTCCTTTCGTTCCGTTATAGGCTTGTACTTTGAAAAATCTACCCCATTATATCGATGTCATCAAAATACAAAACAATTTTTAATAGGGAACAGATAAACAACTACGTTTTCAACTCTTTATCTAAAACCACAACTTTGTTTTTTCTATCTGAAAAAATATTCATATTTATAAAAGTTTCCCCTAAATCATTCATATTTAAAAAAACTTTTTAAAAGCATCATTTTTGAATAAAAATATATTTTTAAGAATACAACGTGATTTCTAGCCATGGAACAGAGTTTATTCACCAATGGAGGTGGGAATGGTTCCGTTTTAGTTTGAAAAAAGTACCAACCATCAATTTTTTCAGCATTGGTTTCTCGTTATTGCTTTTTCGGTTTTTTATCATTAATTTATTTTCATGGGCTCCTTCATCAACAATGTTGCAAAAATTTAACAGACACCCAACTTTCTAAAACATAATACAAGGTAAAAGCCATCACATCCTTATCATTTTATTTTTAAAAGAAATCATAAATATATAATAGTAATTTTAGTTTTTAACACAATCAATTAAACACGCATAGACATAAAATGACATAATTTTTGGTGATATGGTTCATTTTTTTTTCTTCAAGTATTTATATATAAGAAATCAATACCCCAACCGTTTTGAAAAACCTATGGTTTGTGTTTTGTTTTTCTGAAAAAAAAGGTTTTTGAATGTTCAATAGAAACAAAAAAAGGAACTAAACCAAAATAACAAAAACTATCATCTTATGTATATGTTTAATTGATTAAGAGTGTTAGAATTTAAAATGATTATCATACATTTACTGTTTTTATTGAAAATTAAAATAATAAGCATGTGTTGGTGTTACATACTTTTTCTTGAAAATGGTACATTAATAAAATTGGTGACCTCAGTTTTGGTATTACGCAAAAAAGTTGCATGTATTCTTTTTTTACATTTGGTTTTAAACTTGCATGGCCTTTTGTAATTTGAACATCAAAGAAATGAAGAAGAAACAATTATTCTCATAACTTCTGAATAGAAAATACATCAGAGAATATATACAACAGTTAAGATGCACCATGACTACTAACATGCACCTTAACCAACTTAACTAACTATCTAAACATGAAAACGCCATAGTTTTATCTCAACAACTAACTGACTTATATCCCAAGATCCCCCTCAAGATGGAGGCTTAAAACTGTTTTTAAGCGACATCTTGGATAATAAAGGTGTCATTTTTTTAGTATGGTAGAGGCTTGGTAAATAAATCTGCTAACTGATGTGTTGTATGAATGGGCATGAGTTTAATGGTTCTGTCAATGATCTTGTCCCTGATGAAGTGACAATCTATTTCTATATGTTTAGTCCTTTCATGAAATATAGGATTAACAGCCAATTGCATTGCAAAATTGTTATCACAGAAGACCAAAGTTTGTTGATCAGATTGTACTCCAAAATCCTTAAGCAATTGTCTTAACCAAATTATTTCACTAGTAACTGATCCAATTGCTCTGTATTCTGCTTCGGTTGAACTTCTGGAAACTGTAGTTTGTTTTTTTGAATTCCAAGAGATTAAGGAATCTCCAAGGATAACACAAAATCCTATAACTGATCTTCGAGTATCAATGCATCCAACCCAGTCTGAATCACTAAAGGCTTTAAGTTGTAAAGACAATTTGATGAAATAAATAATCCTTGACCAGGATTTCCTTTTAAAAATTGTAACATTTGTTGAGCAGCTTGCCAATGTGGAACTTTTGGTGCAGAAATGAATTGACTTAACCGATGCACAACATAAACAATATTTGGGCGGGTAATGGTTAAATATAGAAGACGTCCAATGAGTCTACTATATTGAGAAGGATCCGATAATAATTCTCCATCAAAAGAAGACGTCTTGTGTCTGGGATCCATTGGATGAGATACGGGTTTGGATGCTAACATTCCAACATCTTGAAGAAGATCTAGAACATATTGTCTTTGAGACACAACAATACATTCAGGAGATCTTGCAATTTCTAAGCCCAAAAAGTGTTTGAGTGTTCCCAAGTCTTTAAGACAAAATTGAGTACTTAAACTTTCTTTAAGTTTATTGATAGCATCTAAAGATGAACCAGTAATCACAATATCGTCCACATAAACTAATAAAGCCACACAATTGTCATTGTTTCCTTTTGTAAATAAGGAAAAATCAGATTGAGACTGCTTAAAACCCAAGGATTTTATAAAAATGGAGAATTTTGCATACCACTGCCTTGAAGCTTGACGTAAACCATATAATGAATTTTCCAATTTACATGCATATTTGACTGTAGAATTTCCTGTAAAAGAGTGAAAATAACATTGGGGTATTTGCATGTAAACTTCTTCTTCTAATTCTCCATTTAAAAACGCATTATTGACATCCAATTGTATTAAAGGCCACGATTTTTGAGCTGCAATTGCTAATAAAAGTTTAAATGTAACAAGTTTTGCTACAGGGAAATATGTATCCAAAAAATCGACTCCTTCTTGCTGATTATAACCTTTTGCTATCAATCGTGCCTTATATCTCTCTATATAACCATCTGCTTTCCTTTTGATTTTGAAAACCCACTTACAACCCAAAGGCTTTCTGTCAGCTGGTAGAGGTACAACAGTCAATGTATTGTTGAGTTCTAAAGCTTGTAATTCCTCATCCATTGCTAATTTCCATTCTGGGGATTCAATGGATTCTTTGAAAGATGTTGGCTCAATTTGAGTTGATATTGCATAAACATATGCTTCATAGGAAGGTGAAAGCTGTGAATAAGACAACACATCGGATAAAGGGTATTTTGGTAATTTCTGATTTGGGACAAAATTTACCAGATTGCAATGGTAATCTCTAAGGTATGTGGGTTTAGTTCGTTGCCTTTGAGGTCTTTGTGTGAAATTTTCTTGAAGAACAACTTCATGTTGATCATAATCATCTTGAGGATTTGTTTGTTGAAGGATTATTTGATAAGGTTCAATGTGAATTGGTTCAGTAACAGATTCAACCACAATTGGTTCAGGTAGAGTATGAGAAATAAATAGATTAATATGAGGATTGGATTGTGAATTCTTGAAAGGGAAAATTTCTTCATGAAAAATGACATCTCTAGAAACAAAAATTTGTTTTGTTTCTATGTCAATTAATCTGTAAGCATTCATTCCTTGTGGATACCCAACAAACACACAAGCTCTTGCTCTAGGATCAAACTTTTGTCGTTTAGAAGGTAAGGTAGATGCAAAAGCCAAATAGCCAAAAGTTCTAAGATGAAAATATGAAGGTTGTTCTTTGTATAATTTTGCATAAGGAGAGATGTTGTTCAAAGATCTGGATGGTGTTCTGTTTATTAGAAAATATGAAGGCTGTTCTTTGTATAATTTTGCATGGGCTTAATGAAACCCTAATGGGCCCAGTGAAACCCTAATGGGCCTAATAAACCTTAATTGATCAAAAGACATAGCTAGTTGGGCTAAGATGGGTTGGAAACCCTAATTAGGGTTTAGAAGACCCTAATGCAATGAAACCCTAATTTAGGGAATTAACTGGGACACACGGTAATTATTTAATAACTTGAGATATTAAATAATAATCATTGGCAAAAATTAATCTAAGCAATATTGGACTTAATGGATTAAGTACTTAGTGGATTAAGTCCTTAATGGGTTTAAGTTGGAAACTTAACCCTAATCATCATTTTATGTGAAACCCTAATTACTATTGGGCCTTGATGATTGGGTTATTAAAGGGGCCATCCAAGATCAAGCAAATGGACTAAAATAATTAATGGGTTTTGAGGTAAGGCCCGTATGGGAGTTGGGCCCAATTTGGAAAATTAGGCCATAGATGGGCCGTAGTTTGGGCCTTAATGGTTATATGATTTTGGGCCTTAGAATAAGATCATGTATAGGCTTGGGCCCAATTTGGAAAATTGGGCCATGTGTCGGGCTTTGATTCCTAGTTGACCTTTGGCCTAAGGATTGGGCCTTGTGCTTGAATAAGCCAAGCTTGGGGTAATGTAGTAATTATCCAAAGTATGTACTTATGGTTATGTAGTGGAACCCAATTTTTAATTGGGTGTTATTTGGTGTTGACAGTTCAGGAATTTGTCATCCAACAGCTGGGGTTGAGTCTGCGGGACTTCAACAGTGTGTGATTGAGTCTGCGGGACTTCAGCAGTATGGGATTGAGTCTGCGGGACTTCAGCAGTGCCAGATGAGTCTTCTCACCATACCAATGGGTCTAAGGCACCAAGGTCGACCCATTTTATGATATGTAGTATCCTAGCTGAGATTGTATTATGTGATTGTTAGTTGGTATGAGCTAGGAAGTATGCTAGTGGTATATGTGGTATGTTTGTATGAAAGACCATGGGAGAGCCCATGGCACCTGGATGTAAGACCATGTGGAGAGCCTATGGCTTTCCCATTATGTAGTAGTGTTTATTGTAGATTCGCTACTAATATGTCTGGTATGCATGTATACGTTGCATGCTAGTGGTATATGTGGTATGTTTGTATGGAAGACCATGGG